ACGAAACTCGCGAACACTCGAGAGCAATGGGTATCGTAAGAGCCGGCTAAAGGAGCAAACTACGAAGGACAACAGCTGCTGATGATGACACAGTATTTCGCACGTATTCATAATATATTAAGTTTAGGTTAACCTAAAGTAAATCAAAGGTATAAAGTATAATTTGATAAGCCACCGTTACTTTAAAATGGGTACCATGTTGTTAAAATTTAAAGCACGGCACAGAGAAAAAGGGTCCACTAAGTAATTTAGTTTATGTTTAATTATTATTATGCCCTCAGCATTGTAACCGTGTTATCAAATTTGTGAACTTTGAAAACTTAATCAAAATTAGTTTTAAAAGATTAAATAACTTAGGTACCTAACTTAAAATGTTTAGATAATTTTTAAATGTCTGCTGAAAACGTATAAATATCGTTTAAACGTAATTACTGTCGTGTCTGATCTCTGGCTCAGAAATTCTTAATATGAAGAGTAATTAAGTCGACAAGCAATCCAATTCAAAGCCTTATTATTGATTTTTGTTATTTTTTTATTATTAGTTTTATTATTTGCAAAAAAGATACTACGAGAGCTATATTTCAATAATAAATTCACATTGCTAATAACAAAATAAAATTCCATTTTTTTTAAATAATATTCTGGTATAATCTAAAAGCTAATACTTGATTGCTTTTGTTTTAGTAGCTTTATACTATATTTTCCTCCTTACTTCTTTGATAAATAAAGGCAATCAACTATGTACCACAAAGAAAGGTGATGGTTTCTTTGGTAAATGTGAAAATTTTCGCCGGTATTTTTGCCGGTACTTATATTAACAGAGGAGACCCCTAAATGAGTGATGTGACTGTAAATTACAATTTGCTGGTAAATATAATGATTGTGGGCAAACAGACCTACGAAAAATTGAGTATGGGTATTTTTACTAAAGAATAAAATAAATACAATATTTGCACGGAACATGCACACAAATACCTATTAAACGCCTATGTTTTGCCATTATTATAAAATTTTAGTCCTATACTTATAAAAAGAAGATCATTTATGTTTTTAAATAATTATTGTATATTAACTGTATCAAATTTCTTTAACAACATTATTCTTTTCATAGTTAATAGTAATAATTTTGTACAATTGAACAGGGTAGCGATGTGCTTTTTTTACACAATGGTGTGATAGATTCTAGATCAGTAGGTAGTCCATTAAGGCTGTATTACTCTATACTTAAAAATATAAGGTACCTTTGTTTTTCTATCATTAACCGCGGTCAAATAATAAACACAGAATAAAGAAAAACTAAATAAAGGCTGTCGATGCACCTGTGTTACCTTTATTAAATAGGTATTCTCAGCGATGACACTGCCAAAGACAGTCGAAGAATTAAAACAAATAGTTCTCTTGTGAAGTGATTTCTGTACTAGCTAAGTTTGAACAATAAAGCAAACTGATACTTTTTACCTAAAAAAAAACCTGCCCCTATTGAGCTAACAAATAACACTTAAAAGGAACTTGCTAGCTTTTCCGTTAATAGCATAGACCCGTTGAAAGGTTTACTTTCTACCCATGGAGCTGGAAGAAGCGGTTTATTCACATCAGCTTAGTTGCTCATTTTATTTCAATGAACTAAAACATAGTTGATTAAATTAGTGGGTATTATTTTCTCAGTAGTACACTTAAATGAACTAATTACTACGAATCAAGATTAAACATGAAAATCAAAAGTATTTGTTGCGTCGCCAAATGTTACCAAAAAAACAATACATATATAGATTAAAAAAATTGTTTTAATAATTTAAAAGGGTATGATTTTATCAATCACCTAATAAATGTATTGTCAATGGTCTTTTTTTTGTTGACGGGGTGGAAAATTCTTTCGGATCGCCGGCTCCTTGGGGATGTAGGAGCCAGGAGTATGTGTTATTTCCACTAAAAACCACCACTCATGTCCCCCCCTGAATCGAAGCCACGTCCACTAAAGCCCTATCCTGGGGAAGCTGCGGGGTTCCCCCGCCTAACGGCCAAATCATTTTTGCGATCAGGCCGCCATCCTATCGCCTACCGCAGCAGTTAATCTGCTACCAGAGGTCCCCTGCCTCTGGCAGCTTGCGGCCTCGTCGACGGCTGGTATCGCCGCCAGCGTCCTTTACGCTTGGGATCGGCCCTCTCCCGATCCCGGTCAGCGGTCTCTTTCTAGAGCATTTCAGCTTCACAAAAAGAGACCACTCCCTCGGACCGCGCCCGAGCCCTCCTCACCCGCCATTATTTTCAATGGTCTAATAAATAGTATTTGTTCCTAAAATAGTAGATCACCTAATTTATATCACCAAATAATAGCAAAATCGTAACCTTAATGTTAATTAAGAATTACTTTGCAATAATATCAGTCATCAAATATTTTTATAGTGTTTCGAAATAATTGAAGTGTCACCAAAATTGAATCACCAAACAACGTAAATAAGTTTACTTAAAAATATATTTATTATCGCTGGAAAATATTATCATTTATCAAATAAATCTAAAGTCATCTTTTTCATCATTGACCCTCTTCTCTGAGACATAAAATGGCACGAAGAAATCTGGGTGGCCATAACTTTTTTCCAAAACATGACAATAACGTAGGCAAAAAGCATTTTCTTTTTCTTTAATGTTTTTCAATTTCTTTTAACTTTGTTTCACTTGCATACAATGCGTTGTTGATAAATACTAACCTACCGTTGTATCTTTTTAGTCATATCTCTAAAACGATTTATTTCATCCCCCTATGTCATCGCCAAACATCCCCTTCACCACCAATTAAAAAGATATAAAGTGAAAAAGATTGATTATTTTCAGTTCTCGTACTCTTTTGAGTTTAATTTAAAGATAAAGTCATCAAATGAAAAATCGGAATAATAACCTAATTTTGTATCTTTGCATTGTGTTGTAAGCATGTTACTAACTTTTCTTTTTTCTTTTTTTAGAGACATCAATATCGATATCCAAGATTATATCATGGTTAACATTATAGTATAGTGGTGGGTGGGACCCATGTACGTAAATCTAATGTTGATGGTTTATAGACTGATTTAAAATATTGTCACGACGGTCACTTCTAGAAATATTATTATAACACATGTTATGAGAAAGCCCTGCATTGTTTTGCTTATTAGCAACGTAACTCCAGAAGTATTTAGGGTTTATATATGTAGATACTTTGGTCAACATTATTAAGATAGTTAGCATAGCATTAAGCACATTCCTTACAGAAGCGACGTCAGTATAGGGAGAATTGCTCATAGTCAAACAAATTTTGGTACTCTTTCCATTTGATTATTGTTTGAAACTTGCTTTTGAATTATTTAATAAGGAGTTGACTGAACCTAGTAGGAAAAGTAGAATTTTTACAGTTCATTCGAGGGACATGTTGCTTGACAATACCAAAAAGATGTCCGTAAAAAGTAGATATCATTCCAGTTTACTACAGATAATTCATTTCTGATCGAATCAAAATAGTTTTTTTATAATTTAATTCAATAACTGGAGAATTTCATTATGTTTCATTTGGGAGAATTTTAAGAAAGGAAAAATCATAGCAGCGAAAGGAGGATGATATGAAATGAAATAATATACTTAAAGAAAATAAAAATTAAAGGAAAGTACAGAAATACGTATTCATTTATTTGTCAATGGCGTGAAGCAATTTTTTCGTTCACGTCTAAGATTTTTCAAAGCAAATCACAGATTTCAATATCCCTAGACGTAAACTGTCAATTGCAGCAGATGGTGGAGTTCCATACCTAACTTATTTCAAAATAAAAATAAAACTTTCTGCAAATTTTTTTCTCCGTACTTTATCCGATATTTTATTAGATATTCTGCTACTCGGGGAAAGTGTCAAACGTATCTACGAATTATCAATCTTGTAAACTGCAAAAGGTCATTAAAATAGTCATTAATTTTTCTGTAATTTTAAATTTTTATGCGCAATTTCCTTAATTTTTCTTACCTTCTATAAAGTACTAGCTTTTGCCAGCGACTCCACCGCGTGGTAGTCGACATCAGACAATGACACGGAATGAGAATGGAGTTAAAAACTAGTTCCCCATATAAAGTTTTTAAGGGTAGTTTTGAAAAATTTGTAACATCGCTGTTTATTACTTTCAATAAAGAGTATTTACTGTGAGTTTGAAATCGCTACTACCACAAAATAACGAAGTTTTATATAAATTTACAACCCCCATGTTGCACCCTTGGAGTGGCATTTTGAAAAATCCTTTGGTGGTTGTGGTAGGTGACGAAGGTGTATAATGTAATATTCTACCACATTCACACAACGCCATCTAGTCCCAAACTAAGCGGAGCTTGTACTATGGGTTACTAGACAACTGATATAAATACATATATACTTTTTTTTTTTGTAAATACATACTTATTATACATAGAAACATCCAGACCAAATCAAACATTAAATGTTCATGCACACGAATGTTTGACTTGAGCGGGAATCGAACCCGCGACCTTTGGAATAGCAGTCCGTTACACAAACCACTACGCCATCCGATCGTTATATACTTAACACACCTACGTCACCTCAGGAACATTTGTGCAAAATTTCATGCTTCTAGACTTAGCGGTTTCAGCTGTGCGTTGATCGATCAGTCAGTCAATCAACCGGTCAGTTTCTTCTTTTATAGGTACAGATTGGAAAAGTTTAAGAGAAGATGTATAAAATCCTTAAAGTCGTTCTCAAGTTTTTGCTGGCTTAAATAAAGTAGGGATTCTTTTTCAAATAAATTTAGATTATATTTAACAACACAAGTAAAGTTTTCCTTCCCTTTGCAGTGCGGTTGCCCTTTGTCGACTGTTACAACACCCACGGGGTGAATAGGGGCGGTGACACTCTGTATTCTTTATCCGTAATCTTACAAAAGCTATGTTGATATTTCTTGTGAGTGAAAGAGCGTTAGAATAAGCATAAAATATTATGAAGAATTATGTTAACATATTATAAAATAACTTACCTTGATTGATGGTCACTAAGATATCCTTCACGATCGCGATCACGATCTCTCCCTGATCGCTCCCTGAAGCAAATTTTAATTTGTCAGAATGCAATAACTTTTAAAATGTTTTAAAAACTTGATTTTGTGCGAGATTTCAATTTCAATTAATTCATCATTAATCACTTTAAAATAAAGGTAGCTGGTATTCTAGATTATAGTCGATCTCTGTGCTCATCTGATCAATCGAATCGATTGAGTAACAAACATTCATAAAACCAATTTTTTACATTACTTCAATAGTAAGATACCTATTATTTAAAACTGAAATCTTATAACATGCATAAACGAAACTTAGTTTAAAATAAAGTAAATAATATATATATATATATATATATATATATATATATATATATATATATATATATAGAAATGTACAAAGAAATATAAAAATAAATATATAATACAAAAATAGAGACCTCTGGCATGTTTTTGTTGTACAAACCAAATCTGCAATATTTCGAAACCTGAATGCTGGTAAACGTTTTTTGATTTAAAAATAAAATATTAATATTAATTTACTACAGTTTATGGATGGATTTGTGATGGATTACAATCATCCAGAATAATTACAAAAAAAAATTAAAAAATATGATAACGTGTGTGTTTGTTGTTTAGAAGTTTATGTAATAAATCACACATCGTGTATTGGGCGGAACATTCAAGACTTCATTGTTGCGTTTGAAAAGAGCGCAGCGGGTTGTCTTGAAGGCAGTGCTAAACAGGCCTTACCGATACTCGACTTCTAACTTATGCAAAGAATTTCCTGTATTGACTGTGGGACAGCTGTGTGTCCTCCTTATAACTCTCCACAGAAATTCTTCTCTGGGTTTTAATCCTCGGTCACAGATGGATAACAACAATCATGTAAGGACCAACACATCATATAAGGACGGCACTAGCAGGTAGACACTACCAGAGTCTTAGTGATCGCCTTTATAACAGACTAACTTAACAAGACTGGAATGTAAGAACGTAATTACTGAGTACCTTGAAAACGCAAAGTATGAAGAGACAGAAAGCTTGTTCATAAAAGTGATCTAAAGTCGTCATGGTGTACACTACAACACACACACACACACAAATATACACCATACACAAATACACGCTATACATAAACACACACCGTACACAAACACACACCACACATAAACACACACCACACAGAAACACAAGGACACCCATAATATGTGTTACACGCTCATCATACACAATCGCGCACATACAGTTTTACAATACACACCTTTTGTTTTTATATTATTTTTACTATTTTTTACTAAACATACTTTAACAAAGTGCTATACTACTTGTAAGTGTTCTAAAATTACAATTATTACAATTTTACTTGTCGGAGGAAGGCTCCGGTGTCTGTCACACAGTTTATATTAGCACAGACATCGTCGTTAACTCTAGCTTTCAAAGTGCCAAGAGTCAATTAATTTTCTAACATAGGCAGCATGTATTCCTGATTTCAGTCAGTAAAAAATTATTATTATTATTTCTTCTTTTTTTATTGACAACAACCGCACTAGGAATATATCCTGTGTCGCAGGGGACTGTACAAACACTAATGAAAGGAACCCAAAGAACACCCAGACTCAGAATAACAATTTGCTGTTATTCTATATGGGGACCTAATCTACTAGACTCGGCACTGTAGGAAGCGGCGCGGCGGCACTACGCCACCGTGCTCTTATTATTCATAATCGAAATTTAAATATAAGTATATTATTGCAAATTTGAAAATTTATTTTTCTTGTGATGTGAAACATTGCTTCAAACCAATTTCAATAAATTAGGTGAGTCAGTAAAAATAAAACGATCTCCGGAATTTCTACTTATTAAGTTGTCTCATCATCAGCCTATCGCAGTCCACTGCTGGACATAGGCCTCTCCCATTGCACGCCACTTAGATCGATTGAGTTGTATTAAGTTGTCTCGTAAGAGTAAATTTCTGGACTGTTTTTTGGAGGAGTTTTCTGGAGTTTGGACTAAAATAAATTAAAATTGGACACTAATCACTTACCTGGAATTGTGATCACTCAAGTAACCACGTTCTCGATCACGCTCACGTTCCCGCATAAGTTCGTTGCGGTCACTGAAAAGAATTACTACCTCAATTGTTTGTCAAAGTAGTGCAATTACATCTAACATTTCTGTATTATCTTCAATAGTTATCCCCATTTTTTATCCCCATGAAATATAAAACAATCACTAGCAATCATGCTTATCATAGCTCTCTACTATGATAAGCATGAGTGCTAGTGATTGTTGTATATTTTATGGGGATAAAAATTGCCGTTGTAGTTATTTTTATATCATGCACAGCCTTAGGGGGTCTAACGATTAGATGTAATATGAGAAGTATATACCTATAGTATCCGTCACGGTCCGATCGTGCACTGTGCTGTCTCTCCACGCCAAGGCGATGAGGCAATGGTAAAGTAGAAGATCGACTGCCACCACCGGAGCATTGTGCTGCTTCTTTTTGCAAATATCGAAGCTCATTGTTATATTTATAAGTCTTAACTTTATAACATAATATTGATATTTATATTTTTATATCTAATTTTTATATAGGTACATTGAAATTAAACCAATACAAAACATAGTATCTGGCAATACATATCTACTTTTGAAAAAAAAAACAAAAACATTTCATACGTTTCTTTTTTAAATTTATACGTCGTGTCTTAGTAGTAAAATGTGACGTATGAGCACGGTTAAGTTTACCTTATGATTGAGGGCTTTTAAACCACGCATAAATGTAACTATGTTTTCAAGATGATATTTTATCCCCAGAATGTTTCAATCTATTACTGTCGCTACTTGAATTTAATGTGCTTGATTGTAACTATTAATGATTTAGAAAGTATAGTTCAAGAAATACATTAAACTATTATTACTTAAGTATTTTATTGAATTATATTTTAAGTCTCTCAAAATTTAACTGAAAGCGAAAGTGCCAAAACCAAGCATTTAGTATTTAAATATTTAGTATATTTGAGTGGCTATTTTTCCACCGGCAAAGGCTTGTCTCTTAAATTAAGATAGAAGAGAGAGAGGTAGATTATATATAACCTAACTAAGCATTAATTTACTATCATGCAATAATTCGAAATATATTTTAAACATAAGAATTTTTAATAAAACTTCGTGTTAACAAAGTTTTACTACTACTAATTAATTGGCTTTTATAGAAACACTTAAACAAAAAGTTAATGTTTTCTGTTCATTTGTTACTCAACTATTTGAGTGTTATAAAGTTATGTATGTCTAAAGTTTAAGATTCATTACTTGTTTTTTTTTATACGTTAGATTTTTTCACAAGTGCAATCAATGTATACCATTTACTACTATTTGTAAGACAGTATATATAGGACTTAGTCTGTGATACGAACATTTTTTTTATTAATTGTAAATTTTGTGAAATTTATATTGAATATTTCCGAGTACCTACATAAATTAAATGAATGACTTTTCGTAAAATTTTAAATTATTACTACCAAGTTAATTTTCTTTTTTATAATTTGTGCTCTGAGATTTCCTGGGTTCGAAAGTGGCATTCCTTTAAATAAATAACACCAATGTTTAACAGTGAAAATTATGTAAACTTGAATGAACCGTAAATTATGTAACGGAAAACTAATTAGGGATGAAAACATAAAGTTTTGTGATACATCTAATACTTATGTATAGATAGACAGATGCATATATAATACCAATCATACAGTAATAAAATAAATAGTGTTCACCTCTTTCCCTTATCGCAGCCTCCTTGAGGTGTCTCAAAGATTGTAGAATTGATTCTTGGGTCGGTCCTCAACAAAAAATAAAAGCAGGGTTGAAATTAAATTGTAACCAGTTTTAACCGTGTAGTGTATATTGTATAAGAACTGTTCTTTAAAAATTGACTTCATAAATTAGCATGCTTTTTCACTTTATTACTTATCAAATATGACGAAAACTACAAAATGTTAAAACCATACTTTGTGGCATTAGAATTTAGTACTTACGTAGTCGAGGTGGATAAGGGCTACGTTGATTTGATGGCGGCATGTTGTCATTGAATTCTAAGTAACATAAATTTGTTATTAGCTGAGAATATTTGGGTAGCTTAGATTACTTGGAATGATGTTTGGCATTCCGGTTGAAGTAATCGTGCTCAATCAAAAAATATTTTTTGTTTTGTAATTCCCAAGTACTCGAACAGTACATTTTACTCGACTATAGGCATAAGTGTACCTAAAAATGTCTAACTAGTTAATTAGTAGAGATAACCTTTCATATTATATTAGAAATAAGACAAATTGTAGGTAGTTTACGTTTATCACATTAAAACGTTAGCCTATGACGGGTAACATACTGAAAAGCAATTAATGAATATATAGTAAATCTATATAAAATAAATATACAGATAGATAATCTTTACGCACTGATGAGCCACTGCTATTCCATCGCCACTATAAAGACACTAAGATAGTGTAGACTACCGCTATTTATACCGATGCCAATGGCCACTCGATGGCATCTCAATAGCGTGTCAGTGGTATGACAGTGCCTTGGAGTGAACATAAAATAGCGGAATTGAGGCCCTGATCACGACATAATAATTTAATGGTGCTCTTAGTATTACGGCACAGCAAAAGGACATAGCCAGACAACTATTGCCTGATAGTTTCATTCGGCCCAGTTAAAACATTTAACAAAACTGTGACTGATTTTTTTCTTAAAGATTGTAAATACTAGATTATCGATATAAACATTCTATCAGAAATAAGGTCTGTTACCTAAATCCTCCATACTCTGGCTGAGCATTGCTTCGAAGGTGTGTAGGCTATAACTTTCAGCGTCCATGCCTTTAGCAAGGGTGTTTCTTAAGTGCATCTCATACTCAAGCAGCAGACGAGACGTGGGTGATCCTGGAGCTGGTGTAGCGCTTGACTGGGACGCTTGACGAGATAGACACGGCTTCTGCAGGAAAAGAAGGTAAGAGACATTCTCAAAAACGATCATTGTTTGATTACATCTTTTAATTTCTAAATATGTGCAATGTTTCCTTAACAGAAAATAGGGCGTATCTAAGATTTGAGGTAGCAATTTTAACTTTGACATTTAATACATTCTTTAAAATATCGAGTAACGCATTAATGTTAATTCGGTCATGTTATCGATAAAATGTAAATAGGTCAACAAGAATCATTATAATAATATTTTCGCAGATCTGACACACAACGCCATCTAGTTTCTAACTAAGCTGAGCTAGTACTAGATTGACTGATAGAATACTTTTTTTTTTAAATACATACATATAATACGTAGAATAAAAAATTGTAATTTAAAAGAAACAATGAAAGCTTATGGAATCAACTTTTATTGATATGAATTAACTACATTCATAACAGTTTTAGTAAAAACAGGAACTTTGGTTAAAAAAAAAACTCTGTGAACTTTGAATCTCTGATTACAAATGTTATCTTTCAAATGAAGAAAATACGCCTCGTAGGTTTTATCATTCGTTTTTGTTCATAAAACTTCTCTATTTCAGATGAGGCCTAAGCAGTGAGGCTCCAGATAAGGCCAGCTCTGAGTAAATACTTTGAAAACCTGTCAATTATTCAATGTTTTTTAGATAAAAAAAGTATTTCTAGACGAAAGACTTTGTTTTGTTGTAAATAAATATATAACCCTCTCCATAATTAAACTAAAATAAATCATAAGTATAAACGCAATTATATATCAAATGTTGGATAAATAAATGTACCAATAAAATATTAAAAGTAGATTAAAAATAACACACGAACTTGTTACAAAATCAGGATGCACTATTAAGTGTAAAAAAAAACGAACTAATGCAAGTTTGATTTTCGCACCGCGATAATATAAGCATACAAACTTGTTTTGAGATAAACCGTCATTCTCGTTAACTCAATTATTGTGACAAAGATTTCTAGCTCAATTACGTTATCAATCAAAATTCAAAAAGAATATAAATGAACGCACAGATTATAGTGATGAATGAAGTGTTTATTATAGTGATTATAAAAAGATAATAACAGTTGCTTACTATATTTTAAAGAAATTTTAACAGCTACTTATTAAGGAAAATAATATATATTATAAGTATATACTATAGCAAATGAGTGAAATGTAGTAATCTGTACACACATAATAGAAAATATTATGGGTTTCAAACTAAAAAAACCGTCACGTTAAAAACATTGTTTAAATTTACTCACTGCATGATGATGTTGCCTTGAATCGCGTCGTTGGCACGAGTCCTGGTCAGAATTCCCATTGGATGACGACGGCGTGGTCGCATAGCATTGATTGTCAAACATCACGTTGTCTGAAGGAGGAGACATATCACGTTCTCCGCCTCCTAGTTCCAAATATAGGCCACGACCGGGATAACCACTAGGAGCTGCTCCTACTCCAACGCCGCGACTGTGGTAAAGAATGTTGTTATCAGTGCCTAAAAGGGTCCACGAGATTTGAAAATTAGTAATTCAGTTCTTTGAAAGTTGCAAACATTAGTTACATAAGAAAAAACAATTGCGCGTAATATAGGTACGTGCAATTGTTTTTTTGATGACAACATGATGGTAAATGTGTCTCACAGATAGAAATTCAAAGGTACTGCATCTCACAAATAGTAGTTGTGGAGGTGGGATTAACTTAGGGTGGAAATTACTTTACGCGGCATAATAACATCGTTCAAAACGTTACATCGAATCAAAGATTGTTTATTAAGTAGAAGATGTTTACCGCTGAGAGCTTTGTCTGCTATTATTGTTGACTACATGCGAGTAGTGCCCGTGGTGCATGTGCTGTTGGTGACGATGTCCATGTGATCCGCACGACGGCGGGCACGGTGCCGCACCGCCATATCGCCGTCTACCCATCTCCGGTGAGGTTACAGGGCTCTCCGTTGACGGCATTGGTTTTAGCATGCGTTTCAATGTATTTGCGTCTGATGAAATATTTCTATATTTTAAAATATGTAGATGTTTTTTTTTATAGATATATAATATTTACAAAAAAAAAATAGATACAGATTTACATAGAACTATTTTCAAAATCTTTGATTTTTCTGTCTACTAATCTTTACTAATTACTTTTAACTGGTTATTTAAAGATATTTAATTATTAGAGTTCATTGTACTTTGTCTAAAAGGGTCTGGTTTCACTATACTTATATACATATAATTTGTTTTGATATCCCGAGGTTTAATGTCTATTATGCGCTGCAATGGTAATAGACTTATATCTTACTTAATTCAAGTACTTACCCATATTCATATCTTCAGTACTCTTGGACTTAGTGCGCCTAGATCCTGATGTATTGTTATTTATAACGTTGTGATGATGTGCTGTGTGTCTATCCGATTCCCTTGACTGAAAATGGATACAGTCCTGTTGAATAAGTACTTAATTATTGATAACTTAGAAAATTGTCCGTTCAAATATAATTTTTGAAACCAATGACCACAAACCACATTATATTTTGATCCTGTTAAAGATAACATCGCGTATTTTGTTTTGCAACAATAATGCACCGTTTGGCAACAATATCATAACCGTAAATAAAAGATATACGTACTGATTCATTCTCGTCGCCGTAGTCGACGCTCTTGCCCATATGTGGCAAATGCTCTTTGCCCGAACGTGTGGAAGTAGCAGAGGATTTAGAGGTTGTGAGAGTACCACCAGCCTGGACGCCTTCTGATTTCAGATCCTGATTGTGTTGAGACGAAGCTCCTCCCCCGCTAGCTTGGGGTTCTTCCGTAGTCTGTGAAATCAAGATTAATTTCGTTTGTTTTTTAATTCTTTAAAAATCGTCTTTAATTCAAATTAATAAATTAGGATGAATGTACATTAAAATGATTCCATTAATTTACTACCTACGTTACAACATGATCTCAGGATTTTATTTAGGATTCTGTGATTGAAACTGGAGGTCTTTGTATGCGTAAGGTTCTTGCTGAAATTCTGTTGTCCACTAAGGCTAGGCACAAGACTATTTATTATTTTTGAAATTAAAATAAGTTTATACTCACATTAGTACCATGCGTTCCTACTGAGGCAGTGACTGTTTTGGGTGCAGTTGAAGTGTTAGTAGTCATGGTCGACGTCTCCTGAGACTTGGGTGGTCGTGTTGGTGGCTGACTTTCAGCCTGTCTGGATGCTGCTGTAATTGATAGAAATAAAAATTGAAATCATAGTCTCAAGTTCAGGGTCTAAAGAAATTTGGTGACAAGAATGTATTTTGCTATTACCACATCCTGTTATTCAATTGTTATCAACAAATATTGTTTATATGTTTTTTTAAAGAGGCAATAGAGACAACAATAATGTGGTTTTACTAGCTTAATTTAAAGGGAATGCGGTGCTTTAAGCTAGACATAGAGTAATAGATTTTATATAATACTAACGCTTAGGAGGTGGCTGTGAGTTGGTAACGTTGTCATAAAGTGAAGTAGATGAAGTGGCTGCAGCAACCTTTTCCGAGCGGCCGGCGGTGCTCGCCGCACCTACGTCTGTTTCGATTGCACGAGTAGTAGTTCGAGGTAGAGTTGACGAACCTACATTAATACAACACAGTTACATAGGTAAATTAAATATTTAACAAGAAAGATTTTATTTGATCCAACAAAATCAGTTTTGTTCATAGAATCAAACCTTTAACTTTAATTCTTTAATATTATTATTTGTATCTACGTTCAAGGTGTATTTACTTTGTCATTGTGATAATATTTATAAAAAAATGCTGTTCTTTCCCTACAGTACCACTCTCACTACCACATAAATATCCAATGACCTTCCTTAAAAATTGGATTGGTTAAAAAGTACATACTTTTAAATCTGACTTGTAGTTTCAGAAATCGACGCATACAACCAAAAGAAGAAACTGAGCTACTATATTCTTGAAATAAATGTAGCTAGCAACGAAAAATTAAATATAGAAAGTACAAGCATTGACAATTTTTATACCCTGATGACGTGTGATACATGATAAGTTTATGTTTTTAAGTTTACAAAACGTTTTATTATTAATCAGTTTCATCAGGCGCCCAGTAAAGGAATACATTAAAATTCTATTAATTAGCCGTTACAAAAACCGTTTAAAGAATTTATGTACTTATTCTGCTTTGTGAATTTTATAGTGCCATCCCTTTACGTCCATCAAAGCAGTGCCAGTATTTCGTAAAACAAGTGGCTGTAAATAGAGGGTATCATCAGAAACCCATAATTCGTTATGCATGTCGCAGCAATCTTTAACAAGGAATGAATGTTATTGAATTAATACTTACGATAACGTGGATCTTGTGCTCTCAACCGTGCATATTGTTCTTGTGTCATGCATGTGCAATGTAGCTCGCGATATGTCAAACTATAATCACACGCATTGATGAATATGTTATACAGTCGAAATTTAAACAGATAACATAAATCTAAAACTTATTGGACGGGTAACAACATATGGGTACAGTATTCTAGTTATTTGATATATTATATCAAATAACTAGAATACTGTACTAGCTCACCCTAAATGATTCATATAATTCAAATAAGGATCTATAATATTAAAGTGATTGATTGTTAGACGCTATCTTCTCTGCAGATCCACCATTTAGATGTTGGAATATGACAAAATATTTATTAATCTAATTACTTTAAGAATATAATATTTTTCAGGCAAGTATATGAAGCTAACATACACAACCATATTATTTTGACCGTATTTAGTGACCATTGAAGTACTCGTAACTACAGTACCGCTACGACCCTGTGACTTTATTGTCCTTTTTTAAGATATGCGTTCCGTTCACCAAATGACTTGAAAACTTATTAGGTTTGTCAATATTATGCAGAATGACGCTTTGTAAAGGCCCGTTGTAAATTATTAGATATCATAAACATCTTGATTAGTCATTTTAAAAAATAAACTTAAACTGGAGACACACCGAAAACAAATGGTTATATGTCATTTTCGTCTTTATGTCTATGTATAGACCGCCTTTGAAATCTCTTAAGATCTTTACTTATTCTGCACTACAATATATCAATAAGTCATTTAGCTAACAATTTTCAGAGTATTGGTATTCTAAGTCTTGATATTTTAAAAGCTGTTAATTGGATATTAATTACCTGGATCTATTTGGGCTTGCAGGTGTTGACACCGGCTTTCTTTTGGCCTTGAACTTTTGCTTGCTACCCGGAGGTTCCAGCTTTAGGCTATAGCTTGAAGAAGCTTTGCGGGAGAATTTAAATGATGGGGACTAAAATCATAAAAATAAATTGCATTTTAATTTATGCTTAATACATACGTAAGTATGAGGCCAGTAAATGTACCTATTTCTAGGAATATTTTGCTTGCAGAAACTTTATTTTCACCTCTGTGCCTTACAACTTCTTTTGTACCTTCTCATTTCTTTCACTCTCGTTAGGATAAATATTAAATTTTATTCTATTGTACATGACACATTCCACATTAAATTTTTAAACAATTTTCTTCATTTTATTGTTAAAAATACATTAATGTTCTTGTTTATTTTCGGGCGGGAGTCTAATAGCTGAAGTATTAATAGCGTAATCGGATTAAATGTGCCCTCATAAAATTTGAACAAAAAATATTTATTATTTTTTCCGCTAAACTTGCTTAACTGTCTTTTTAAGATTTGATAGGTACTGATTTGTGAACTACTTGAATCTTTAACTACTGCGGCTAGATAAACGATTGAAAATTTAATATTACGTACTGTTTAAGTTAACATATTTTTTACAAGTGAACGATCTGCAATTGATTAAGTGTTACTGATCGTTTATTGAAGAATACGAGTAAAATGACTGTTAAAACCGTTTCGATGAATAAATGAAAAGTAAGGCAAAGAGAAAACGATGATGAATACAACAAGTATTTTCTTTAATCGATCGGTTAGTCATGAAAAAAAAAGATTCACTAAAACAAAGAAACATTCGTAGCACTTCTTATATATTCTAAGCTAGAGGATACTTACACAACATTCTCTAAATTGTTTGGCATCAATGGGAGAGGTGAAGTTAAGTCCCCACGTATCATTTCTCATAGGATCTTTCCAATACACGAAGCATTCTGAAGCTTGACCTATCCGAGTGCCTGTAAACATTTTTTTTCATATTTTACTTTATTAGACATATATAAAATACTAGATCGGTACGTATCTAAACACTTATTGACTTGTACTTCCAATGTACCTGTGTAAATACTGTGGTACAGTGATAGAATACTGAACTGGTTTTACTAATCGATAACAAGAAAAATAATGGAGACTAATGGTTGGTCGGAAACCATTGGTTAGGATAACAAGTTAACAATAGATTAAGATAGCATCAAAACTAAACACTACCAGATTTTGTGTTTCTGAGCTGACCCTGTATTTGTCTGCTATCCAATAAACAAATACACATATATTTTTTAGCCTTTTTAGCGTTTAGAGCTGTGTATCTACAGATTCTCAATTATTAATATATTCTTCGATTTTCCAAATAGAGATCAAATGAAGCAACTTATCGGACTATTTCATACTGATAAATTCGGGTAACTGCACGTCTTACAATACAGTACAAATTTAAAACTAGGTTACACCGATCACTGGCCGGAACTCCACCGTGGGACCTTTTTTTTTTTCATCCCCTCTTATACCACCACCACGGTGGCATGTCGGACTCGAACCGACTAAAACCGCACGCCTTCGCCGGGTCCTAATAGCTGGGGAACCAGGTATACCCTAGAAAGGAAGTCCCTGGTGCCCCGACATACCTCGGGTCATCTACAGACGAGTAGACGACCCCCCCCCCCCCCGTGTGGGAACCCCATGTTCCCTGTGCTCCCTGGAAGCTAGCGCGCTTCGCAACGCGCTCGCCGTCACCCCGGCCTGCTTCTGCTAGGGTGACAGATGGCCTCACCTGTCACCCCCAGGCCTGCGCTTATGGAGGACGGAGGTCGTTGTGCGACCATCGTGGACACGGCTCTCCACACGCTGGCAGAGTGCCCGGCGTGGGTTGAGCAGAGGCGAGACCTCGTGGCGGCCATCGGAGTGGGAGTTCTCTCGCTCGATAGCCTGATTGCGGCTATCGTGCGGAGCGAGAGTGCGTGGAACGCTGCCGTCTCCTTCTGCGAGCAAGTTATGCTCGCGAAGGAGACGGCGGAGCGGGACCGGGAGAGGTTTAGGACTCTCCCGGCCCGCCAGGCCCGGGAACGGGCCAGGTACCGCAGGCGACTCAGGCGCCGGAGGTCGCAGAACGACCTCCGTCCTCCATAAGCGCAGGCCTGGGGGTGACAGGTGAGGCCATCTGTCACCCTAGCAGAAGCAGGCCGGGGTGGCGGCGAGCGCGTTGCGAAGCGCGCTCGCCTCTAGGGAGCACAGGGAACATGGGGTTCCCACACGGGGGGGGTCGTCTACTCGTCTGTAGATGACCCGAGGTATGTCGGGGCACCAGGGACTTCCTTTCTAGGGTATACCTGGTTCCCCGGCTATTAGTACCCGAGACGGCGTGCGGTTTTAGTCGGTTCGAGTCCGACATGCCACCGATATATATATAGGATAGGTATCCGAGGGGATTTCCGAACGGAAAAAAAAAAAAAAAAAAAAAAAAGTCACACCGAACAACGTTTCGATCTCCCAAAACACTGTAGTTAAATACCTACTAATACTAATTATTTTGTCAACATGACTGTGTCGATTGTTGCAGGTTTTTATTTTATGATTTTGTAAATTTATACAGAAGCTTATGATTGTTTAAGTAATAATTTTTATATCGGATATTAAAGAAAAAAATTGTTGTATTTCAAAACTTTTACATCACTAATATGATTTCTGATTAAATAGTTTTGAAAACATTTGCAAGTGAAAACATTTGAAAACTTTAGAACAAGTATGCATTCTAGGTTATGAAATTATTTAAATGATATTTTGTTTAAACTATGCATATAGGTATATATATATATATATATATATATATATAAATATATGTATATTAATACGTATGTATGATGTGAGAATCAGTTTGTTATGTACATAATGTGCCGCAGTATTCTGAGCACGTGTACCGACGCGACCGATTGATTACGCAGAGTAAATGCCGGTTATTTAGATATGATGCAAGATATGTCCTCGGTACTGATTACACAACTCCATCTAAGAATGGCTGTTAGCTGACATTTTTAAGCTGAGTAAAAAAACCGATTCCGATATACCACTTTATCATAAGCCCTGTTGAGGTGATGACCCGTATCGGTTTCCACACAAAAAACCACCCTATTGGAAGTAATTTAAGTTTAATTTAGAATAATGCTCTTAAACATGGTGCACATCCCCTAAGTATTGAAAAAACGGAAATTATCTTTTCTAATGGTTATATCCTACTAAAAACTACTGTAGTAATAACGCAACTCACCGGGCTGCAGTAGTCTGACGTCAAGTATTTTGTCAACTTGTGAATTATAAGCAGTGATGTGGAACACGCACTCGGGCGAGTCCTGAATGCAGGTGATGTTGACCGGCACTAGATCTTCTGACACCTGCTGCCACTTCACAGTGCCGGCGCCGCTGGCTGACACGTGGAACACTTCCGCCCATAGTCTGTAAATACCAATCCCTTGAAGAGTATCGTCGTTGAAGCTGATATGAGCGTTTCGAGTTCGTCGACCTCTTTCATTTAACATTAGACGTTTTCTATAAGCGTTCAGTTGATCGTAAACTGTTAAAATACTCCTACTAGTGGGAATACAACGTTATGTAGGTATAACACGTAAATTATATATAAAACCATATATTTTCTTACTTCTTTCTTTCTTCTCATGTATTTGCCAACGCTGTGTATTTAGGATTTATCAATTAATTTTTGCAGGTGAACTAGACAGCGATGTATCCAAATAAAGTATTCGTGATACATTCTGTTAATAAAGAAAATGTCCATATTTATGCAAAAAGTGAAAAACGTCATCGTTCCTGCGTTTGTTTTAAAATCTATTTACACATTTTATGCATGTGCCTATCATACATACGAATGTTATGTTTACCACTAGCTTTCTAAGGTACATGTAAACAACATTTATTCAATCAACAAATAGTGTTAAAATTAATAACTTTGAGTTATACTCTCGATTGTCTAAATAATTACTTCCAATCTACTTGTTCTTAAATGTTAATAAATGGATTAATCTTGCAGTGTTACACATTTACATTAAATTTCTTATCATCAAGGGTTAATGTTGAAAGTTCCTCCTGTAACTTCACTCAGTCGGTGAAAAGTAACGAAGGTACTGCTTCTTTGTATTGCCATCCGTGTGGTGACAGATTAAGAATACGGAGTGTCACCATTCCCTGGGTGTCGTAAGAGCCGACTAAGGTAGCAAACTATGCAGGACAACTGCACTGTAAAGAGAAGGAAAACTTGATACAAACTATACCAACCCGTCTGGCCAGTGTGGTATAGTAGGTCAAAACCTCCTTTCTAAGAGGCCTAATTAGAGGCCTATGTCTAGAAGTGGACTATTAAAAGCTGTTGATGTATCAATTCTAGCACAAAACCTAAGATTAAAAGGCTACTGCCAGAACAAAGTAGTAGGCCGTGATATTAAAAATGTGCCTAAGCATGGCTTTCCCATAGTGAAACTCTTTAATTATAGTATATAACTTTGAGAAATAATATGTACTAATTAAAGGAAATAAAATATCTTCAAAAAGAAAAACTAAATAAACAGTACGTGTAACAACATTTGAAATAACCTTTGTATTGTATAAAGTCGTATGAAATATAAAGGTCATGTTGTGTAAATGTGTGAATATTTACAAAATGAATCTCAGTTTACGAGTATGACATAGAAATTCCTTTAGTCGTTTTATATGATAAGGTAATTAGCGGATAGATATTTAAGTTTTGTAAATATTGCCAATTCGAGCTTCGGTTATCTCCAGTCATTGATTACGAAATACAGATTGCACATTTTCATTGTGTTCAATGTTATTTCACTATAAATATACATTTAGGTTTTTGTTCTGCACATCAAAATATTCTGTACTTTTGCAAGTGTGCAAGGTATTGCGTATATTTATTAAGAACAAAAACTTTATTAGCAAAACATAAGATTTAACTTTAATAAAACCCGGCCGTTTTTGTTTGTCATAGCAACGAATCTGTTGTAAAAAAAAGGTTCTGGAAAAATGAGACTGTACCTATAAGCCTTAAACGGTTTATATATAGATAGTTTAAAAGAAAATGATATTTATCTACCTGAGTAAATGTCCATCCCTACGTCGTGAATTCTGCCACGGGCTGTCTTCTGCGCGGTACGCCTTGCGCAAGATGGGCGCGCAGGAGCACGACGAGAGCTTATTGCCCATCGTGCGCGTTCCGCACTCGGCGCACTGCACTATGCTGCCTGTAATGTTTACACTTATAAATGTCGATATCTATATACCTAAACATCTTCTGTCGATGAATATGATGTAAGAACAACACGTTACCAAATAAAAACACCTCCAAATACATACACAGTTTTTTTCATTACCACATTACACAATCATGTTATTGTTACCGTTTTTTAATTAGAAATATACATTCCTAGCGTTATGAGGCCATTATATCAGAATCCAAAACATTGACAGAGGAAAACACCGAGCCTGCTATACTGCACCCGAGGAGAGGTAAGACTATCAAACGACTACTTTAATCAAAAGCAGTCTTGAGGCGTTACAAATATTATAATTCGACATACCCATTTAGAAGCAGGAAATAAATTACTAAAAATAGATGAAGCACCTATAGAAATGAGGAGGCGACAACGAGCTTCTTTTAATTGAGATAAGTGAGACTCGTATAATTATAGGGTGATTGAAATTTCTACTATACATGTGTATAGCAGACATTTCAATCATGTATAACAAATTCACCTCAGTTGATACAATATCCAGAGTATAAAAGTCTAAATAGTACTACACAGCATTGATTCTTAAGAAATCCGTGAATATATTATATGTAGTAACCTACCTCAAGTGAAGTTCTAATCAATAGTGCTGTTAAAACTATGTATCAATCAAGAGTAAAGAACGCCTATTTCCGTGGGTATTATTGTGATCAACATACCTTAAAAATGTACACATACAATAAAAAAGAATGAATTTGACTTGCTAAAACTCTCACACTTAAAACATTACTTATCATATAGGACACGCGATTACATCAGAATTGTACTGTTTTTAAAGAGTAGTTAGAGGAGAAGATTACAAGGCTCGCACTGCCCGGCAACCGCCAGCTCGAGTTACGGGAATGCAACCCTGACCTGCTCGAGCTGGTACTCCTCAATCTGCACATACAGTCAAAATCGCTTTTCTGCCATTGCCTTTCCTTCTTGCTTACCTTTCCTTATAACATAAGGACAAAATAAATTTACCTCTGATTTGTAAAGGGCCCGGTTGGCGGCATTAAGCTTCCACATATTACCTACATGGGGCTAAAATATAGGCGTTTAATACATCTTTGCCTACCCCTTTGGCGTGAGCGTATCTAGTATAAAATGTCATTTAGTAACTAATTCATAAAAAAAATGGATTTCTCGTTACCAATTCATATTGACAATATATCGCAGTCCCCGACGAACACTATGGTAATCGCTATTACGATAGAATCGGGTTTATTAGATATTCGTTATCTATACACCCTATTACAATCATTGAGTTTTTTTTATGATCGGGCGATGAATACTTTTGGATTTATCCATTCAATAATGATCTTTATGTTTTTGTTCAACGTATAACATAAGTGAAAAATTTACACGATCAATAACGCAAAAACCTATTACCAAATCTCAAAAGTCAACATTTTAGAGTAAGCGGCTATTACCATATTGTTCGAGGGAAAAATGACAGAATCAGAATTTATACATAGGTACCGAAATGGTTATAACATCTAAAAATGATCATCGAATAAGCATGTAATTTATGTTTACCGTAATATTAAAGTCAGTTATATCATCGAATACGATTGCAATGTCATTTTACGAATATAAAGTATATTCATATTTACCATGGAACAATATCATAATGAACGATTACTACAGCAACACGGATTTGTGATTACAGTCGAACACTATCGTAAAGTTAGTTTGCGTTAATTTTTTCCATAGCTTATTTCAGTAATGGACATTTTCACAATTTTCTTACTGATAAAGAAAATTTATGATAAAAATTTAGTAAAATTCTAGTGCAAAAAAATATTCCCTTATTTTTGATAAAAGAATCTTCTTTTTAGTCTTGATAGTATTCAAGATATTCAGTTTTTATTTGCTCCTGTAAAATTGTCATTTTCCTATTACGATTTTGTTCGTCGGGGACTGCGATATGTTTATTATAATTTGGTACCTCTAAAAAGGAGAGCTTATTGAGATCCTCAAGGTGAACCTGTTATTCTGTAGAGGCATATACATATTAGTAATATAAGAATTATAAATGTGTTGTTGAAAAGGTAGTTTGAACTTACCCGCGGTCCCGTGATGTCACCAGGTGCCATCGGTGCGCGAGAGCGAGTGTCCGCGGTTCAGACTCTGCGAGCGCTGCGTGCCCTGCCTGTACGGGTGTTGCACAACAGCGTGCTGCAACACATCCGATCATTTTTTGCATTCAAACACGCATTTCATCTATGACTACATACGCAATACTCTCAGCTCAGGACTTCTACTTCGTGATTTATAATATTAACTTGCAAAATCGAAAATTCAATTTATATAATTTACGGACAGGGTATGATATTTAGTGGATTAATTTTATTCAACACAGAGTTTAAAAACTTACAAGGAAGTAATTTATACACTTTATATTAATTAATGCATTTAGATGACACAAGTAAATTGAAAGGTAAAGGAAGTGAAGCAAAAATACATGCATCATGGTGACAAAAACAATATATTCTAACTACAATTCTTATTACAAATACTCGATATTCTACTATATTAAAATGGAAATAAATGTCAGAATCTATGTTTGGTATTAATGTTACTTAAGTCGAAGAGGGTTTTGTAGGATTTTACCACGGTTTTATACTTCAATGTTGAATTTCGGAATGTTGAAATTGAGTTATGCTACCTACAGACAAAAACTTGTTGTCTCTTACTAATAATATTGTCGAAAAAAAAAACAGCACGCTTACTATAAAGCGTAGCAATTAATGTCAATATCATTACAGCAGAGAGGCTCTGAGTGCTGAGCTCTATCTAGTTGTGCTTAGACATGTGACTCATAAATGGACTTGCCATGTTACAATTATTTTGCATATTTATATATATAACTAGCGTTTTTGGGCAATTAGAAACATTTAACTATTTTTTATAACTTCTTCTGTAAGTATGTGAAATATGAATAAAGTGCGTCGCCATATTGTTATAAACTGAAGAATTCTACCCGTACTAAAAATGAATAGGAAAATGTGATTAGTAAGTATTTTATTTGTATGAATAATCTACAAGGTCGAAACATATAATTTTTATATTGAATAAACCCTTATTAATTTTAGTTCATGGCAAAAAAGGCCCATCTATTAAAAAAACTAACGATACTTTTGGAGTCAATCCTGAATCTGAAATATCAACATTAGAGATTACCCAATCTTCTATTAAACGATAATTGAAAATTCTAACACCGCATTTCGTTGTAGAAGGCAATGCCAGTCCGCCATACTTGATTAGACCGACTGTATGTATGTGGGTCACCTTTATTTAGATTTATATTTAAATCTCGATATCACTCAAATTCAATAACCATTTTATTATAATTTAACAATATAATCGTTGTCGAAATTATGTTCTATTTTTGTATTTTAATTTTATTGTCTTCTAGTTATTATTGCTATTGTAATTTATATGTATTTCATGTCATTGCAAGTTAACATATTCAACTATATTTTGAATATATTGGCAGTTTGTACACATTGTATTATGTTACATATACAATGTGTGTTCCAGAGGACATATTGATACTTTCAAAGTAAGATAGACATTCCTTTGCGACTATATCCTAAAAAAACTAATGCAAATGCATTGCTGTCCTTCTATGTTATTGCATCTACTTACTTACCTTGAATTACCTTCAAAAATTTTTGAAAAAATTACCAAACGTATTTAGGATTATCCTCTTGACCCTAGCAGAAAAGTAAGTGCGTTATTTTCTTTAGTGATATATAAGACGTATAGCTGGGCATAAAATACATAATTATTATACAGCAATAATACATAAAAATTTACATATAATATAATAATTAATATGTAATTAACATATACTTAGCATGTTATTAAAGTTTAAATATTTTATTTAAATAGTACGTGTGAACATGCATAATACTGTTTACTTGGTACAAATTTACTGTGCATAAAAATTTAATTATGATTTCACATAACGTTATTTCTTTATTATTTTATTGGCAGAACGCCCCATAGTACAGACATTCACGAGGGAGGTAGGGGTATACAAACACTCCATGTGCAAATTTAAAGGTATTTACGAACCTCGAAATTGTTCCAAGACTGTTGAGAAAATTTAGCCGCCTCCACGCTCTCTTTAGCACCCATATTTACGAAGTTATGAAATCACTCGAATGAACTATGACAAGTCGGTTTCGATGCGTATGCTCTGAGCTCGTGACACTAATGTGCACTACCGGTCTCTCTGAGAGTCAGGTTTAATAAGTATTTAAATACCTCTATCTTCGGTCGTTCGCAAAGTTAAAAATTCACAACGTTGAATAGTAAATGAGGGGTGTTGTATGTTGCAGCGAGCAGCGCACGGGGGCGGCGCGGATGCAGGCGCGGCGTGTAAACACCGCCAGCTGCTGGCTGCGGCGCGCACTCACCGCAGCTGCGGGCTGCTCGCGCTGCCGCCGCACGCCCGCACCCGAACTACCACACGGTGACCGCACCGTCCGACCGATAGAGACCCTAGGGCTGCCTAGCTACCTCCCGGACACACCGACACCTTCGATTATCTCGGGATATCTTAAAGTGCGCAGAATATATTGTAGTGTGATACGAAGTCGCTCGCGGTGTGGCAGGACGACACCGGCGACGCGGCTAAACGTCAGAGCAGACTGGGTCGCGAAACAAGCGTGCGTGGCGGCGCTGTGTGCGCACAGTCGTGCCGGCCGCTGCCGCGCACCAGCCGCCCACCGAAAGCCGAGACGCAGCGACGCCCAAACCTAGCAAACGATACGGTGGCCAGCGCCCTCCATCTCACCGAGATTAGTCGACCTTGTATCACCTACCTATGTCACCATTTATTTCCACAATTTAATCAATCTGTAGCGTCGAATCTCAGTTCAGACATAAGTCTTTTTCTAGTTTGCATACGAATTATATTAATAACATGTATCGAGATTAAGAAGATCATCAATGAACGTTCGGAGCGGTGCGGCGTCGGGCGGGGGGTTGCGCGCGCATTCTCCCCGAGACAACATTCGATTTTGGTCCATGACTGTTGGATGCTTACAGTGGCCCAACGAAGCCTTTAATAGTTCATTCTAGACTTCGACCGAGTATACGACTATTTTATAATTTTTCATTGTTACAATATACACCTACAAACTCGTATTGGCGCACTTTAGGACGAACAAATCATGTAATCACTATTTTATTATATATGTAAGCATTTTTGAATAACACAACATGAGGCACATATCACTTATTTTTAATAATATCTTGTTATCAACTCATCATCTTAAAAGCAAGCCTCAATACAGCTAGAACATTTCTAAAAAAAACGCAGAGTTATCGACACACACATTGCTTACTTCTGGGTATCTGAAGAACTTATCCCCTTTTGTGAAATCATAAAGACACATAACAAAATATAGTTATTAAATTTTCAAATTTAAATACATGATCAAAGATTTTATTACAAAAGGGTACGTAAAAATATTTACACAAGACTATATTATAACTACTTCAGCAATCGCAAATGAAAATATAACTCAACTGCAAACAGTGAACTCCGCCGGCCATTTTCACAATCAGCTGTTAAGCACGAATACAGATATCGTATATTCTTTCGCGAGAATAGCCAAAATTTGCAAAATTGGGTCAGGTTAACATACAGCTGATTGTTTCGTGAAGGTGATCAATTTCATATATATTTTAGAGTAATATCTTAAAATTAGATTAATTATTTACAGGAAAGGGCTGTAGGTTCTTTGTTACACCTAGTTTACTTAGTAATCATTGCATTAAAGTTTATTTACATTTTTCAATAATGTGGAAACCCCCACGGGTGTTACCACAATTTTAAGTCTCGCCAGTGCTCATGGTGAAGTGAACCAACGAACGAAGAACCCAAATAAAACTAATCACAACTGAGTCTATTCTATTGCAAGGGACTTGGGTATGCCTTAGGAAGGATGTCTCCGGGAAAAGATTTTCTTACCTACAACTACAAACAATAAATATTGAATTACAACTCTTCCTACGATAGATACTCTTTCATAATTGTATTTTGCCTGCTTGAATAACCAATATTCAATCATTTGGAAAAAAAAACTACAAAAATTAATTTTTATCATGCGATCGATTACTGATAACCGAAAAACATTTACGTTTTTTATTAAAACTTTACATGTGCGAATAATATACATACAGCTTTAAATAAGAATGCATTTTCTCCTATTTTTGGCAACCGATTTTCTTTATTTTAATTTCGTATAATAGATATTGACCATTTTATTAAGAACACTTATTTAAATTGTATCGTAGGTATATATATTATTTTATACACGCCGATTAAATCTAGCATGTTGAGCTTCTTCCACATAACTAGAACAGCCGAGTTTAAAGATTCCAAACTAAAATTATTATCAAATATCGATTAACATGATTGTGTATACATGTACTAACTTTTAACGACGGAGGGCGTGCGCCGATGAGCCAGTCAGCCTGTGACCACGGCCGGTGCAACCTGGTCGAAACGTCAGGCAAACCAGAGGTATGTAATACCCTAAATAAGAGATCGCGTTAATTCCCGTTAAATAATATTAATTGTGTATACATGGGATAGCTAATATAAATGACTTGACTTCTGACTTGCTTTTATACATCTCTGTGCTATGTACGAGTATCTCACATTTTAAGCATATAATATCGCATTTTGCCGTTTGTGTTGAATATTGCCATACAAGTAAATAAATTAACTACATATACGAATAGAAAGAAGCCTTATACATTCTGGTGTATCCCCTAGCCACAGTTTATCGGTTAGCAGTAATTAGGTTACGTTGAAACTGCAGTGTGTTTATCAATAAACAACCGCATTATGTTTCAGACGTTGTTGTTCCAAAACAACATTTTAAAAGTTGATTTTAGTCGGTATGCATTAAATGTATAAAATATACTCAAGATTTTGCTTAATTTCACTTTACTTCAATAAAATATTTTTATGACATGACTTGACGGGATCCTAATACAACAATGATAAGTAAGGCAATAGCAATGTGATTCTGTGTGCGTTGAATGTTAATCAATAGTTTAGAGTAACGTATGAACTGTTTTGATTTACATCATATGTTTATGTAATGTTTTAATGTACACTACAAAATAACATGTAACATGTTTAAGTTATTCCCTGAAATTACTGTTGCTTTCGATAAAGAAACACATTCGAAAACAAAAAAATCATGTAAGTTATGTGAAGTTGGTATAAATAAAGTTTTAAATGTTTACTTTTATTTTTTTAAGGTATCACAAATAGACAGTAAAAATAGTAGTACTAAGTTATTTTGTGTTTATTATAAGCAGTCCGATTAATTTTAAAATAGGAACACAATGGTTTATTTTTTTAATGCAAATAAATGTAATAATAAAATAAACGTATATGTATAACGAAACATGCAGCAAGAACAGACAAAAACTAAAGTGAAGGCAAACCTTATGGTGTTTCAATTATCATAAAAATCCTAATTTAACTCCATTACGAACACCGTGAGATTTAAGTACAGAGTGAATACTGTATGGTATATGTGAATAGTGGTATGTATTGTGGATTCAGTGCGAAATTAATTTCGACTAGTCCAGCGGCGAGTCTTTAGATGTCAATTATATAGGTTCTCACGTACAAGTATTGTTGTTAATCAAATTATTTTTAATTGTGCAAAGGTTAAGTTAGATATCTCTACCAGTCTATTTATATACAAAGAACATGTGTCAAAGATTAATTAGACTAGAAAAGAGAAAAAAAAACCATTTAAATCACAGAAAAAGCGGTTTAACGACGGTTTATAATGCATAAAACATACATATGGTAAAACCACGAAAAATATGGTTTTTAAAATTACACTTTTTGCTATAGCACGCACGCACTTGTTTACATCTTTTAAACTAAGCAACGGATTCAAGAGTAAGGTTTATATGTATAATACAGTAGAGAGAATTTAAAGATTTTTATAAAAAACATGTTTTTGTGCGCTTACATTGCAAACGCTGGCTAAACCTTACGAGATAGACCAAAATAATGTACTATGGAATTGTATATCTTAAAAATATCTACAAAAAAGTCCGTAATGGTAAATGTCTATTTCCTAAGGATAACACAACAGTAACCATTTTTAACTTTTAAATTTTACAAAAAAGGTATGGCTTATTTACAAAGCTATTTCAAAGATTACATTATTATTTCTTATCCAATTAAATACGTTAAATATATTGTGCATTTTATGTAGGTTGCTCTTTACAGCATATCATTAAACTGAATATTTTAGAAGACATTAAAGGTTTAAAATGCGGGTGGCAACGGCCGGCAGAAACGGAGCGGTATAAGCGGAGCGGAGTAATTACTAGCGATCCACCCCGGCTTCACACGGGTGCGATGTAGATGCTACTAATACTACTAATGTGGTGTCAGTGTGGAGTAATTAATTGTACTATTATTATGATAGTACTTCACCTCAGGACATCTATATTCAATATTTATAGGCCCCCTCCGTTCCAGCCTGACGCTGCCACCCGGGACGATAAAAGATAAAAATGGTTACTGTGGGTTATACTTAGGAGATAGCATATCGCGGTTATTTTTAAGCGACTTAAAAAAAAAAGAGGCTCTATGTTTCACTGTATGTATTTTTTTTATGTATGTTCACCGATTACTCCGTCAATTGTGGAACAGTATCATAATCAAGGAACAGTAGCTCAACTGTCAAAAATGAGAGGATGAAAAAATGAGAAATAAAACTTATTCAGACCTACGTGATTTAAAAAAAAAGGAATAACTGCGTTACGAGCAATGTCAAGCGAACGACAGGATGGTTTGTTAACTGATCTAAAAACTGATTTTTTTTATACTCCCGCAAGTTGTTGCCGAAAATATATTCAAAAAAATATATTGAAATGTATAAGAAAAGCACAAAATAAACTCCATTTTTGTCTCCAACAAAGAAGCTCCAAAGTAGCACTGATTAAATGAACTTTGAGTGGGAAAAACTGCTTTACCTGTGGCCAAGAAGCTAATAAAGAAAAAGAAGCAAAATTAAATAAAAAACAACAAAAACAAATCTCATACGTTAATACTCCAACTTTAAGTGACTCCATTGTTTATTTTATATTAGAAATTCATAAAAGAATTTCTGGTATAGCAAATTTACGTTAAATAGAAAAATCGTATCCAAAATGTAAAGACCATATTTTTTTTACATGCCTTTATCCGCTGCGATAGCATTCTTCAATAAAGGTAAAATATAAAAATTGTAAAGCTTCTTTTCTTTTTAGATAAACTGGAATTAAAATACTTGAGCTGAAGGATGTATTAATGACGACATATGTGGCTGGGTCAAGAGTCGCGTGTTACATTCCTGGGCCTCAATTCTGCTATTACGCCAAGCCAGTGTCATACCACTGACACGCTATTGAGATGCCATCGAGTAGCCATTGGCATCGGTATAAATATCGGTAGTTGAAAATATATTACGTTTTTTGAGGAAATTATTTATTTGTTTTTATTATAATAAATTATTAAAAGAAATAAATAAATTAAAATAACAAATAAAGAATAAAAAAATAATAAAATAAAGAATAAAACATAAAAATTATAAAAAAAGAAATAAATAAATTATTAAAATAAATAAATAAATTAAATAAATTATTAAAAAAGAAAAAAAATATATATATTTATTAAAATAAAAAAATAAAAAGAAAAAAATTATTTAAATAAATAAGTCATTTCTTTA